TTGAAGCGCTCATAGACGTATGAGACTAAACTGTATATCACAAATCTCTTCAAATTTGATTTAAATCTTCAAGCTGAAATGATCCTTGAAACACGAGCTTAAACTATATGTGACTTAAATGTTCAAGTTTGAGTTAAATCTTCAAGTTGAAATGCTCCTTGAGACACGAGCCTAAACTGTATATTATAAAGCTCTTTAAATTTGAGCTAAATCTTCAAGTTAAAATTCTCCTTAAGATATGAGCCTAAACTGCATGTCACTCCTAGCCCGCAAGAGTATAAACTGTGTACGACACAACAAAAAAACAATAAAAAAATCACTCAATCCCAGAACTACATTGTGACTTGATCCTCTTCACTGAGGTACGTAGACACTTAGAATATATCCTAAGTTCAGTTGCATGAGTGTCAAAAACCACTTGATCTGTCACATGAAAGTTAAAGCTATGAGTTGTCTTCCATCAAACTTCAGACTTGCACCAAATGATGGTGACTCGATGGGGGCAAACCCCTATGAATAAAAGTTGTTTCTAGATGATGTCTTCAAAATCTCCAAGTATGTAAGTTGAAGTGTTCAAATTCTTCAAGTCTGCAAGTTGAAATCTTCAAATTCTTCAAGTCTGCAAGTTGAAGTCTTCAAATTCTTCAAGTTTGCAAGTTGAAGTCTTCAAATTCTTCAAGCCTAGTCTTTGAAAGATGAAATATCTCGACAAGACTTGAAGAAGGGGGTATTTGTAGTCACTTAAAATTTATTAAATATAAATTTATAAAGTGATTCGGATTATATTAAATTCATAAATATATTAGTCCAAATAAATATTATGGATTAATGTAATTGATTTAATTATTTAAATCTGATAAATATGAATTTAATTAATGCCCGCTCCATAAAGTTCATATGTCATGTCACTTAAATCTAATTGGCCGAAGGGAATCCTATTCCTATCACAACTCCTCTATTCTAAAACTATAAATAGGGGTCCTCATAATTCAGAAAAAGAACCAAGAATTCTATCAAAAAGCTAGAGAAAGGTCGTAGATTAAAAGCTACAAAATTCTCTACAAGCTACAAGTTTAAGAATTCAAGAACTCAAAAGTTCAAGAATTTAAGAATTCAAGAACTCAAGAGTTCAAGAATTTAAGAATTCAAGTGTTCAAGTTTAAGAATTGAAGAATTCAAGCGTTCAAGTTCAAGAACGATCAAGATCAAGACCGCCGGATTCAAGATCAAGCTTGAAGCCCTTGGATTCAACTAGAAGTCTATCAAGATAAAGTTCAAGTTCAAGAACGATCAAGATCAAGACCGCTGGATTCAAGATCAAACTCAAAGCCCTTGGTTTCAACTAGAAGTCAAGATCAAGATAAAAGTTCAAGTTCAAGAACGATCAAGATCGCCATATTCAAGATCAAGCTCGAAACCCTTGAATTCAACTAGAAGTCAAGATCAAGATAAAGTTCAAGTCAAGATCAAGATCAAGATAAAGTTCAAGATCAAGACCACCGGATTCAAGATCAAGCTCGAAGCCCTTGAATTCAACTAGAAAGTCAAGATCAAGAAAAAGTTCAAGTCAAGATCAAGATCAAGTCTAAGTCCAAGTCCAAGTCCAAGTCCAAGTTCAAGCTCAAGAGCCCTTGAATTATATTTGAAAAGGCGAATTAAGAGGAATCATAGAGATTGTAACACTCGCACTTGAAATAATAAAATGATTGTTGCATAATTTTTCTGTTCTTGATTATTGTTTTCTCGATGTGAATTTTATTGTCTGCACACATATTAAGAAAATAATGATTGATATAGTGAGTTTATCATTTTACCTCTATTAATTATGAAGTGAATGAATTTAAAAAGATTTTCAAGAAAAACTACCTTTTTCAAAATTAATTAATTGGGGATATCATAGATAAAAAAAATTATTCTTTCTTGATTTGTCAAAATAGACAAGTAATTAGGGACGGAAAAAATAATAAATTTATAAAATGAGCATTCATAGCTTGAAGTTCATTAGTCTTACAATAGATAAAGCCAAAAAAAAACATGAAAGAATTGCTCAACCCAATGCAGTCAACTAATTTTAAATTCCCCAAACTCACATAACCAATTTTTTTGGTAAATATGATATGAGTAATACATTTCTTCCGCTTAAATTTAGCGTTAGTTTAAGTCTTTATAATATATTGTTTTAAATTTAATAGTTGTCGTAGAAATGAAAATGTGGTTGAACAGTGATGTTGAAGTCATATAATATATTGTTTTGTTTGCGTAAATATAGTTTGTTAATCTTTTTTAATTATGTTTTAAAGCTAAAATATTCCTATTTTAAAAAAAAGCAAAATGACAAGATATTCTTTCATTGCAGAATCCCAAATAAATAACTATTCTTCAATTTAATTTTATATCAGTTAGTTTGACTTGACACGAAAATTAAGAAAAAAATCTCTTTTAAATTTTTTATCTAAAATAATTGATAGATATTTGTGTGATTATAAATCATTTTAGTTAAGAATAAAATAAATATTTTAAAATTAAATGTTATTTTTTTAACTGATATAAAAAAAAAGTAAAATTTATAGGAAAAATCCTTTTGGCCAGAACGATATTTTACTTATGTTATTTTACCTTTGAACATTTTTACCTTTTTAACTTTAATATCTTTTAATTAAAAATGGAAAAAAGATTAGTATATTTCAAAATAAAAAAAAATTATTAATTTTTTAAATTTCTGGCTAAATTTTCTAACCATTTAGCATTACCCAAATTTATAAATTGGAAACTGAGAGAGTTACATTTTTTACCAGATAAATGAATATTATAGTGAAAAGAAGTTGAAATCAAAGAGAGTAGTTACTCGTATCATCCTATTCAACAACATGAATAAGTAATTATATTAATGCATTTAAAATTTTTAAAAATCTTAATTGCACATAACACGAAATCTAACAACAATTTAAGGGGCAGAAATAATTTTTCTACCCCGTACATCTTCTAATCAACGTTTGTCTAAATTTCACAATTTTTTTTCCATAAAAAACTTAATATGTAAAGCAAATAAGATAGTGTTTCTCTCTAATTAGTTCTTCACTTTTGAATTAACACACCTATTAAGAAAATAATAATTGACATAGTAAATTTACCATTTTACCTCTATTGATTATAAAGTGGATAAATTAAAATTTTAAGATTTTCAAGAAGTTTTACTTTTTTTTTTCAAAATTAATTAATTAAGAATATAATAACCAAATAAATTATTATTTCTTGATTTGTGAAAATGTACAAATAAATTAGACAAGTAATTAGTTCCGAGGAAATAGTAGTACTCCCTTTGTCTCTAATTACTTGTTCACTTTTGAATTGACACACCTATTAAGAAAACGATAATTGACATAGTGATTTTATCATTTTATCCCTATTAATTATGATGTGGATGAATTAAAAACTTAAAACTTTTTCAAAATAATTAATTAAGGGTATAATAAGTCAAAAAATATTGTTCTTTCTTGATTTATCAAAATGAACAAATAATTAGGAATAATTATAAAAAAAAATAGATAAGTAATTAGGGACATATGGGAGTAATTTTTATGATTTTTGCCCTCAAATGGATTGTAATGATGGCGGGAGGCGTAACGTAACCGGGAACGACCGGTCACTTTCCCTCCACCGACAACCCCTAAGTTGATTCCTGTAATCTTAATTAATCAACCAAATAATTATTATTAATAATTATTATCCCCACTTGTCTTCATATTCTTGCACTTGTCCAGTCTCATTGAATATCAAATACTTAATAGAGTTGGGTACGTAAGTTAATTCTCTGTTTTCATTTTGCGCATTCTGTTTTCCAGTAATTTTGTCATCAATCCGTGAAGGTGATGGCTTGTCGCTGTTTTGCATTTTTCATTCCGGCTGTTTTGTCCAAATAAAATTGTAGTTTGAATGAATAAATGATATATATATATGTGCATTGTTTAGATAGATCTCTGATTGCTTAATTAGATCTTCTTCTTCTTGAATTTTTTCTTTTCTTTGTATATATGAATATGAATGAAAATAAATATATTTGGAGATCGTGGGACAGTTACCCCTCCTGCTCCACGATCCTGTAACCGTCTTGCCCCTAAAGTTGTCTTTTTTTCCTCTCTTTGTTTGTTGATAAATAAAACACTTAAATGCTTCTGCAAATGTTCTCGATTTCACCTTCTCTAATGCTTCCTTCCGTTCTCTTGCCGTTTTTCATATCTTCAAATTCAAATTCAAATTCAAATTGAAAGAAAGGCAATCACTACTACTAATAGAATTAGACTTGTGGATTTTTTTATAACTAGTGTTGGCTACCATATCAGATTCATGCCTTTTGTTTTCAAGATCCTAAAATTACTCAAAGATTTCTTTAGATTTGACTGGAGTCATACCTCTTGACTGGCCTCTCTTTGAATGTCATTCTTGTGTTACATTTGAAAGAAAAAAAATGTGCATTAATTCTCTACTGTGAAGATACTAAAAAGATGGCTGATTCACCTTCAATCCTACTCCTTTGTCTCTCTTATTTCTAGACAGTCAACTAAAACATACAAGCTGCTTTCCGTCTTACAGAAATGCTCTTAATTACAAGTGTCACGATAATTCAGCATTGTTGATCTGAAAATGCCTGTTATGATTATGAACACATGTATGACCTTCATTACCAGCAACCCCATTCTGTTAATAGTTTAAATTCTATATTTGTGGTTAGGCTTATGTAGAAATATCATAGTAATCACGATTCTCTATTTCTAGAATGCTGTATTTCTAATAGAAACTATTTAGCTTTTGACGGTGCTTTTCCATGAATTTGTTTTGCTATTAGGCTCACAAAGTCTTATAATTAAAAGCTCTTTTATCAAGCGTAGTTTGTAGTCGCTGTCTGGTGTATTCACAATGTATTGTCTTCTCAATTTTATAGTGATGATGGATTATCTGTTTCCTAGCTTATATGGTTTCTTTTTTTTTTTAACTACAGATTAATAGGTGAAGTATATTGAGCATGAAGGAAATTGAACGGAAGCATGGTCTAAACACTAAGCAAGCAAAACGTGCGGTAAAGACAGAGAAAAAAGACTACAAACAGCAGGAAAAGAGTACTGACAAAACATCGAAAGCAAAAGAGACTGATCATAAAGCTTCACTTCCTAGACCAGAGTCCAGTGTCTTAGTAAGTGATCCAAACACGGGCACAGAGCCCACTGAAGTTTATGAAAATGTGGTTATAGATTATGTCGATGATGTCTACAGCTCTGAGGAAGCAACTCAGCAACCAAAAACACGTAAAATGGTTGACAAACATGGCAAGGATAAAATCAATGATCGTTCTAGTGATATGGAGAGTGAACCCAAAGAGGGAGTGGAAGAGGAATCAGATATTGAGACAATAAATGATTCAGTTTCATCTCAAGGAGATCCACAAATAGCTGAAGATGAAAATGTAGAAAGAGCTTTGACTGTAAAGGTCTCTAGAAAGCTTGCAAAAACTGAAGGGAATAATTCTTCCCAGGTACAACGAGCTAAATCTGATCGGAAAGCAAACAATTCCCAGGGTAAGGCATCAAAAAGTACAGCAAACAAAGCCAAAGCACCTAAAAAGGATCCATCTAAAATGACATCCAAGAGTGTCAATGAAAACTCTAAAAATATGAAAGTCCATCCCAAATCTCTATCAGATTCTTCAGAAGAAGGTGATGAAAAACTTGTTAAAGAGGTAGAACAAGCAGACATTTTGGATGAGACTTCAGTTAGTGCTCAAAGTGTTGGAAGTGATGATGAAACAGTCAACACCGAGGATATCTGTGAGCAAGAAGATAAAGCAGTTTTAGAACAAAAGATTGGAGAAATGGAATCAAGGCTTGAGAAACTTGAGGAAGAGTTGAGAGAAGTTGCTGCCCTTGAAATTGCTCTTTACTCTGTGGTATCTGAGCATGGAAGTTCTGCACATAAGCTGCACACACCTGCCAGGCGCCTTTCTAGACTCTATCTTCATGCATGTAAATACTTGTCTCAGGACAAACGAGCTACAGTTGCTAAAAACACTGTTTCTGGCCTTGTATTAGTTGCCAAGTCATGTGGTAACGATGTGGCAAGGTATGTTAATACTTTCATTTATTGGATCATGTGTTACTTTTGTACTTCTTATGAACCTAACGTTTTTATTCCCTTCTCATGAAGGTTAACATTTTGGCTGTCAAATGCTGTTGTTCTGAGGGTAATCATTTCTCAAGCATTTGGAAGTTCCTGTAGCTCAAGCTCATTGGTGACAATTACCGAGCCAAATGGACGAGGAAATAAAACTGAATCAAAGGTTTCCTCTTTAAAATGGAAGACACATCCAGGAAGCAAGCAGTCAAGTAAAAATGACCTCTTGAAGTTTTTTGATGATTGGCAAGAAACAAGAACTTTTACAGCTGCTTTAGAAAGAGTAGAATCCTGGATTTTCTCGCGGATCGTTGAATCAATATGGTGGCAGGTAATCAACTGTACTTTGCTGCCTGTTATACCAATGTTCTCAATTAGGACTTGACGTGTATAGAACACTAATTAAGTGCAAATCCTATTTTACTGCATCAAATAGGTAAACCTTTTATGTTCTGTTCTACATGGTAATTATAATGATTTATCCAAACATGCCATCATTAAAAAGGTGTTCAAGTAATTAATCTCTTAAGTTCAAGTACGTTAATATATTCTCCTTTTGGAACTGATTGATCAATTTGGCTTTAGACCTTGACTCCCAATATGCAATCTCCTACGGATGATCCAATGACAAGCAAATCTGTTGGGAGGTTATTAGGGCCTGCTTTGGGTGACCAGCAGCAAGGGAACTTCTCCATTAACCTATGGAAGCATGCTTTCCAGGAGGCTTTGAAGAGACTATGTCCTGTACGAGCTGAAAGCCATGAATGTGGTTGCTTGCCTGTTTTGGCTAGAAGGGTGAGTATTCTCCAGTGTTTCTACTTTTCATTTGCTGTATTTTTACCACACTTTCATCTCCCCGAGTTTTAGATGCAGGTGATCAAGGAAAAGCGCATAGTATTCTTGCACTTCCATTGTATCTGTATTTTTTTAAAGCTGCCTGTGATAAGTTTTAGTTTCACTTGTTAGTCTGAAAGCTTTACGCCTCCATATATGTACCTTTTCAGGTGATTGAACACTGTGTTGCCAGACTGGATGTTGCTATGTTCAATGCAATTCTTCGTGAGTCAGCTCATGAGATCCCAACTGATCCCATATCTGATCCAATAGTTGACTCCAAGGTGTTGCCTATTCCAGCCGGAGATTTGAGTTTTGGGTCCGGTGCACAACTGAAAAACTCGGTAAGTAGTAGTCACTATTAACTTGTTTGCGAATTCCTGTAAATTTTTTTTGGACGGTCTTTTCGTTTCTGTCTTCTGGGCAAAGTAAAGCTGCTTGCTCTTCATGGGAATCTTTTTCTCTGTCCTTGGCACCTGCACTTTTTCTCTGCCAAATTGTCAACAATGCACTACGTGCTCTGAAAGCCTTAATGATCTTATGTTCATTGGTTCATGCTCTTGGTATTGATAGTACATCTTTTCTCGCAGGTTGGCAATTGGTCAAGATGTCTTACTGATTTGTTTGGCATGGATGCTGAAGATTCTGGGAAAAATGATGAAGACAGCTCTGGAGATGATCATAGAAAAGGTGGAAATCAACTAGAACATTTCTATCTTCTCAATGCCTTAAGTGATCTTCTCATGCTTCCCAAAGACATGCTCATGGACCGCACAATCAGAATGGAGGTACAACCTTTGGTTTCGCCAAATATGTTAGAGGTCAATAGTGCTATTTCATTCTGTCTTTAATGAAAATTTTAAATGTTGCTCCAGGTATGCCCATCTATCAGTCTTCCATTGGTTAAGCGAATACTCTGCAACTTCTCTCCAGATGAGTTTTGTCCTGATCCTGTCCCTGGTGCTGTATTAGAAGCTCTCAATGCTGAGGTTTGTCTACTCTTAGCTAGTTCAAATTTTGGATTTTATGACTGTTTATAAACGTTATCATCACTACAACTTTGAAACAAAGACACCGTGATAACAATAATGATGAAAATGGAAACAATTTGATCAACTGACCAATACAACCAAGTACTTCTTTCTTGGATATTAAACAACATTTGCGAAGGTATTTCTGTTGTGAAGAATCTTATCTCAGATAACTTATGTGTGCAGAGCATCATAGCACGTCGATTATCAGGAGGAGACTCATCAAACAGCTTCCCCTACCCTGCCGCCCCAGTTGTATATACACCTCCTGTTGCCGTGGACGTTGCAGAAAAAGTTGCAGAAATTGAGGGAAAGTCTCACCTATCTCGGAGTGCTTCTGCTATACAAAGGAAGGGATACACAAGCGATGAGGAACTGGAGGAAATAAATTCTCCTCTTGCATGTATTATTGATAAAATGGCATCATCACCAGCTTCTGCAGAAAATGGAAAAGATAAACAAAAGGAAGAAACAGGTTCAATTGGATCAAATACGAGGTATGGACTTCTTCGTGAGGTTTGGAAGGCAGCATAATTGAGAGCACTTTGAATTATACTTGTGAATTTTCATACCAAGATCATGTTATAGAGCAAGAAAGAGAAGTGGAAGTTAATGCAACATTTGGTAGCAGTAAATAGTATTGAGAGCTTTACTTCCATGTTCCAATTCATAAGCAAGAAAGCTTATGTGTATTGAAATCCATATCTGAGAAAAAGTAAAGAAAGAATTTGATTGTTTTCTTTTTTAAGCAGAAGCAAAGTAAGTGAGAAGTTGTTTTCTGTTTGGATTGGATGAGACTCAAATTGTGTCAACAGTTAAAACCTATGGATAAAGGTCTGGTGTTTGCAAGTCTTCATAGCGTAGTTTTTGCAAGTTATGACCTGCTAAATCATTAATGACTTTGTTGTTGACTTCTTCAACATCTTAGTTGTGTCATGTGTGTACTTAAATGTCAAAATACCTTATGGGGTTATATTGGAGCTTGTCTTCTCGAGGAAAAGTATGGTTTCTACTCCTTGAGGAAATGTCATGCATAATTCTTCAATAATTAGTCTTTAGGCAGAATACCTGAAGTTTGATGCTTTTTTTTTTCTCGGATCCTCTTCTGAATTATACTTAATTAGGGAACATGTCTGTGCTTCGCGCGATGATTAATAGATATGTGTTTGGATGTTTTTTTATTTTGGATTAATTATATCATTATCTTTTCATTTGAAATGATGATACATAATGAAACTTATCAAATTTAGTATCTATTTAATGTGAATAATACATTCTTAATGAATAAGTCAGAATATGTACTTTGTTAAAAAAAATACTTTATTTTCATTGCTAAAATATATAAATACATCAACAACAGCCCATCATTCTTTATTAGATTGATGTTTAGGGAATATATTCTCTAATCATAATTTATTTCAGCTCCTTATTACATAGAAATCAATACATGAAAAACGTCATGTCATTCTTTGTTTGTTTGATCTTGTGAAACTCCTTTGTATATATATTTTTTCAATTGCTCTTGTTCCTTTTTGAAATATGCAATTTGCTCTTGCATAATATTTTCATACATCACTTTAACGGATTTGCTTGATTGTTTAGTTGTAGCTGTATTCAAAAATAAATATTTAGAAGAACAATTTAATATAGTCATGAATATTATCATTAATATTTTACCTTGACAATTATCTGAACTAATTATTTGGTGCCGATCCTTATATTTTTTATCCGTTGTAGTACTTCTGTATAAGTATTTGTCAAAGTCAAACTAAAGATAGAGTATTGCAATAAATGGTAAGTTCCATATAATAATATTGAAAAATTAACCCCAATTAATCACTATGAGCCGATGGTGACTATGAAGATAAATGGTGTGTGTGGATCTTTATTATTTTGTTTGGGGTATTTATACCACTTCTTTTCATTCATTGGTTGTGCTACCATTTAATTGTATGAATTAATTATTTGGATTTGTTAAATGTTTGTGTAAAGGTAAGTGTGAAAATTTTGTAAATAATTGAAGGAAAGTTGGGAATTCGTATTATTTTTATTTATTTATTATGAAAGATATGGTATGAATTTATTATGGAGATATAGTAAATAAAAAGATGTAGAGGAATATATATAGATAAGTTTTCACATTGAACATGTAAATGAACGTGAATATTTTGAAATTAAAAAATAAGTATATTTTACAACTTTTTTCGTTGGTTATGATCTCCATTTATTCTTTTAAATAATGAGATTATTTATGAAATTGTTAAATCTTTGATGTAAAGATAAGTGTAAGACATTTTGAGGAAGAATAGGCAGAAATGTTGAATTTTGTATTTTTTTTTTATTAATTCGGATAAAGCTGTAGAAAGTATCGCGAGAGAGCTTGAAAGTCTTTGTTAGAGGGTAAAATATGAGGTACGCACTTGCTTGTGTTGCTGATTTGTTATATAAAGAAAGGGAAGGGTGGACAAAAATTTCTTAGTATGGTGTTATTGTATAGAAAGTAATCCACACATATTAGACCATGATATGGCGTTACATAAATCTTGAAATTTAAAAGATTTTTACAGATTTAATTAAAATACTACTAAGATTTTCAATGATATCCCTGGATGTAATTTAACTTCAAGCCCTCATTCATGAAAACACCAACGACATGAACATGAAAGAAATAATTATATGTTGATATCATTATTTTAAAGTTATAACTGAAGATTGATGTCTCAATTTAAGAAAATATATATTTAAAATATCTTATTTTTCATCTCTCCTCATCATTGCTACTACAATTTATTACATTTTCTACCTTTTATGTTTATAATTCTTAAAATATTTTTTTTATTTATCTCTCCAGGTTATTACCATAATTAATTATTCTTATTCACAAAATTTTCTTTTTCCTTAATAATTTTTTTTCCTTTGATTTATAAAATTTGAATAAAGAAGAAAATCTCAAATATTTTATTTTTCTTTTTTCGTAATATTACTGCAACCTATTATATTTTTTTATTTCTTCTCATTATTAATATAAAAAAAAAATTAATTCATCTTCCCACCTTCTATTTCTAAGGTTTTCTAAATAAAATCTTATTTATCTCTCATTCTTATTATCATAACTATTAAATTATTATTATTATTATTCTCCAAATTTCTTTTTTTTTTCTTAATTTTTCTCTCTTGACCTATAAAATATATCTAAAAAGAATAAAAAATATCTCTTTGACCAAAAATCATAGTTCTCCTTTTCTTGAGTTTTTTAAATATTTTTTTATTTATATTTTATGTTAAAAAACTCAAAAGAAGTTATAAAATAATGTCTAACTTAATATTTTTTTAAGACTTAATTATGATACTCATCTTTATATTATTATTATGATAAATATATTTACCTTATTTATCTCTCTTCTCACTATTACTACAATTTATTGTCTTTCATCTCTCCTTATCATTACTACAATTTACTCATTATTTTCTTAAATTCGTTTTCTAACCTTCCATTTTTATATTTTTAAAAAATCAAAAATCTTATTATCTCTCCACCTTATTATCATAAACTCAAAAAAGTTATAAAATAGTGTCTTATTTAATATAATATTTTAAAACATAATTATGATACTCACCTTTATATTATTATATTATGATAAATATATTTACCTTATTTATCTCACTTCTCATCATTACTACGATTTATTGCCTTTCATACCTCCTCATCATTACTACAATTTATTATTTTTTCTTAATTTCATTTTTTTTTTTTACCTTTTTTAGTAGTTTTTTTTAAATGAAAAATCTTATTATCTCTCCTCCTTAAACATATCCTTATTGTCATGATTTATTATTATTATTCAGAAAAAAATTCTTCTTTTGATCTATAAAATCAGTTTAATTTTTTTTTTAAAAAAAACAAATACCTTATTTATCTCTCTCTCCTCATATTACTACTATTTATCATTTTTTTCTTAAATTCCTCTTTCTATCTTCTATTTTTTAAAAGTTTTTTAAAGAAAAATAATATCATCCATCTCTCTTCCTTATTATCATAATTTATTATTATTCATGAAATTTCTATTATTTCCTTATTTTTTTCCTTTTGATCTACAAAATTTGCCAAAATTATCTCTTTGACTAAATATTATAATTAGTTTTTTTTCTCCTATTCTTGACTTCATATATTTTTTTGTTATTTATGTTCTATGTTAAAAAAATTCAAAAAATACTATAAACTATAATCTTGTTTACTTTTTAAGTAGTTATATATATTAAGTTTAATTGATATATTTTTATAATTTCATATTTCAAATGTTACATAAAAAAGTAGAAAGAGAGAGAAGTGACTATAGATAAAGTAAAATAAAAAGTAACTATTTTAACTTCTTTTCATTTTCTGTGTTTTCTTTTTGTGGTAATTTTTTTTTAATTTTTTCTTTCCTTTTACTTTTTACTCAATTTATTACTATCTTCTTACTTTTATCTATATTTTTTACTTTCATAAAAGAGAATAAAAAATTTATTGTCCTTATAACTTTTCATATCATTTCAGTACTCTCTATACTCATTGTTTGTAAATAAAAAATATTAGAATGAGAGAAATAATACTTCATGGTGGGCATTATTTTCACGGTTCACAAATTGAATGTTAGAGGATATTTTGATGTCTTTAGATCTTCGGTATATTGAATTCCTAAATAGAATTTCTTTCTTTTTTTGCTAGATTCATATATAATAATTCTTGCTGGCATAAAATGATCAAATCGACACATGTATATTCTAATGAATTCATTTATACAAACAAATCAAAAAAATCGATTTATCTAAGGTAGTAAAATCTTCTTTTGCTATGAGTTCTCTATTTTATCTCTTGCATAATTTTTATTTATAAAAGAAAGCAAAATGAATTTACCTGAAGTAGTAAATCTTCTCTTGTAACGATTCTTCTATTTTGTTAATTTACCTGCATTATGTGCTCACCTAATGTCATTTGTATAAACAAAACATTTTTATTTTATTTGAGGTAATAAAGCTTTTCAAAATTTTAATCTACCTGGAGTAGAAATCTTCTCTTGCAATGATTCTTCCATTTTGTTAATTTACCTTCCGCTTATGTGATTTCCTACCTAATTTTATATACAAACAAATCAAAAATTTGATTTATCTGAGATAGTGAAGCTTTTAAAAATTCAATTTACCTTGAGTTGTACATCTTCTCTTGCAAAGATTCTTCCATTTTGTCAATTTACCTTCAGACACTACTAAAAAAGGGCCAAAAAGAGACGGATAAAAGCGACGTAGTCCGTCGCTTTTTTGGCCAAAAGCGACGAAAACGCGACGCAATCACTTCTGTCGCTTTTTTGCTCAACGCTTTTTCAAAATCGACGGACTGCGTCACAGTTTGACTTTTTTTTTTTTTTTTTTAACAAAAGCGACGGACTCCGTCGCTCAATTTTCATTTTCATTTTTTTTTATTTGCAAAAGGAGACGCAGTCCGTCGCTTTTGCGGAAATTTTATTTTTGAAAATCCCAGAAAAAGCGACGGACAAAAGGACCCTGTCCGTCACTTTTCTGAAATT